TTGTCAATAAGTCGTTTTATAATGGGTCGTATTAGGACTTAGTCTTAAAAAATGTTTGATTTTTTAATTAAATATATTTTAGTGCTAAAGTATTTAAAAATTTATTATAAATAATAAATAATATTTTGGATTATCTTTTTTATTTTTTTTAAATTTATATAGTTTAATTGTAAAATGTGATGGTATCACAATTTATTATTATTTGTATACGGTTTCATTGATGAAACTTTAGCAGAAGAATGAATTATATTTTATACAAGACATGGAAATTTGAGAATAAGACTTTAGTATTTAATTTTCTAATATTTCACGTACCATTAAAAATAATAATAACAAATTAACAATGTGTCAATTTGGATCTCTCTTTGCAATTGCCCTTGAAACTAAACAAAAGGTTGTTGCTGTGGCCAATGTTCCCTGCAAAATTTGAAAAAAATAATTAATTTTTTATTTTTTTCTTAATTTTTTTCAGCCAACCCGGCAGGTTGGCTGTTGCAAACAGAATAGCAACCCGCCAGGTTGGCGGGTTGCCATATAGCAACCCGACTTGCCTGGGGTTTACATGCGGGTTGAACCCTCTCTAATGCGGGCCGGGTTAGGGTTGACCCGCCTAACCCGGCCCATTTGTTCCACCTTTAATGCTGAGCAATGAATGAGAGAGGAATATAAATATGAGCAATGAATAAGAACAAATGATAATGATGTTTAAGTAATAAATATGCAAGGAATAATAAATGAGTTGAGAGAGAAAAAATGCTCAAAGATTTATAGTGGTTCGAAGCTATATCAACAAGCCTCCTACATCCACTTCCTCAAGGCAACCTCCTTGAAGTTTTACTAGAATCGAATTGCACCTCTTACACTAGTTTGACAGGATTTTGCCTCTAAATTTACAAGATTTTGCCTACAAGATGTTTGAATTAAAGTCTGTGACTGATTGCCTCTTAAACTAGGCTTAAACACACAGTAAGAATAATACTTTCAAAGGTTTTCAATATGAGTACAAGAGAGTGATAATGATTTGGATTTTTATCTAAATGGATTATGTGAGAATGTTATAAGACTTTTGTTTCTCTGATATTCTCTCTCTATCTTTCGTTGCAATAAAACATTCTATTTATTGCTTGTCTCTCCCCTTTGAAGTAAAGAGTCATTGCTGCATTTAATGCAACTCTGAAAAGCTTTAGTACCTAGAGGAACAGGTGTTCCATCGTCGCAAATGGTCATTCTCAACATAACAAATACTTTTGCTTAGCTTTAGGGTTTATGGAATGATCATTCCATCATCGCGAGTGGGCATTCCACCATCGTGAACAGTCATTCCACCACATGGAACGGCTGGTCCATTGGCTCCTTAAAATCCATAAAAATTTCAAAGTCGTGAACAACTTTCTAGAATGATGTCATTCTCCCAAGAAGGATCTTTGAGTGGGAACGATCATACGACATGATCATTCCACTTGAAACTTTTGTTCTTCAACTTGATCTTCAAAGCTTGGTTTTCAAGACTTGTCAAAGGCGCGAAAACATTTGAATTTGAAATGTCTTGACTCTTAACTTGACTGGAATAGTAATGTAGCTTGGTCATGCCATTGTAGGCGACTTGAAACAACAAACTTGGTAGAAGAGTGCATGATCATCTGGAACGAGGTCATGTTGTGTGGAATGTTTATCTGGGCAGCTCTATGAAACTAGGAATGACCATTCCTTCATCTTGCACGATCATACCAACTGGGAAAACTATATTTTTGTTTTGGTTATGACTCTTGTCATACCTTTGCAAGTTTGTTTCATAACAATCAATTTTTTTATCAGTTTTGGTACATCAAAACAAATAAGGGCTTAACACCAACTCAGTCCTCCACAAATCCAAGTACACCAATGACCAACCAACACCATGGCAGCCATAGGTTGACTTCGCTGCGAACACCGCATCCCACACTCTACAATGGCTACTTGATAGTGGTGTTTCTCATCATGTCATAGCCAACCTAAGCAATTTATCTCTTCATGCACCATACATCGGTTCTGACGACATTATGATTGGCGATGGCTCAGGTCTTCGTATAACCCATACTGGTTCTCTTCTTACTACCTCTAACACTATATTTCAATTAGATAATGTCCTTTGTGTACCTAGCATGAAAAAGAACCTCATATCGATTTCACAATTTTGCATATCAAATAATATTTGTGGAATTCTTACCCCTTTTTGTATGCCCACTCCTACACTTAACCTTTCATCTCCCTACGAAACAATTTTTATTTTTGCCCCAAACTACTCAAAGAATTTTTGGTTGTTTGTGCTACCCTTGGCTCCATTCCTAGTCTGCTCACAAACTTGACTCTTGATCAAAACCATGTATCTTTCTTAGGTACTCTCTCACTCAAAGTGCCTATTTATTCTCTCATCCTTCTATGTTAAGAATTTTTGTCTCTCGTCATGTCAAATTTGTTGAATTGGTCTTACCTTTTCTAATTTTTTCCACTCAATCTCTTTGTCGACAACTTTACACTATCTTCACTTGGATTTCTTCTATAATAATAGTTATGATAGGTTTTGCTTCTTCAATGCCATTGTCCATACCATCTGAAGTTCAACCTCAAGGGCAACCACTTTGTGATGATCCCTTCCCCTTACCACCACCACACTGACCCTTCCCACATCACCACAATTGTCGCAAGAATCTCACCCTTAACCAACCACTTCTAAGCCTTCAACCGAACTGTAACCAAACCTCATACACACTGCCCATACCACTTCCTTACACCAATTCCCATAACACTATGACACTAAGGCCAAAAACAATATCCAAAAACCACTCCAAAAACTTAACCTTTCCACTCAACTCTCCCAAGCGTGTGATGTAGAACCAATCACTGTGACTAAAGCAATCAAAGATCCAAAATGGTGTTGGGCCATGTCTAAAGAATATGATGCTCTTGTTTGAAATGGGATATGGGAGCTTGTGCCGTCTATTTCTAGTCACAATCTAGTTGGTTGTAAGTGGATTTTTTGCACTAAATGCACTTTTGATGGTTCTATTGATAGACACAAAGCAAGCTTAGTTGCAAAAGGCTTTCATCATTGTTCATGAGTTGACTATCATGACACATGTAGCTCTGTGGTCAAGCCTACTATGATTCATCTTATTCTTAGCCTTACTGTTTGTCGTGGGTGGTCTTTATGACAACTTGATGTAAACAATGCGTTTTTGCAAGGCCATCTCTCTGAGGATGTATATATGTCCCAACCTTTAGGTTTTGTTGATCTTGACTATCCAAATTATGTTTGCAAGCTTTAAAAAACAATTTATGGACTTAAGTAAGCCCCATAAGCATAGTACTATAAGCTTTGCAAATTTCTTATTGCTTCGAGATTTCAAAACTCTTATGTTGACACCTCTTTTTTTGTTCTCAAAACTGGAGGTCATATTCTTATCTTCTTGTTTACATTGACGAGATTATTGTTACCAGTGATGATAATGATTTGGTTCTTCAGTTTGTGCACTTACTTTCTCAATTTTCTATTAAGGATCTTGGACAATTATCTTATTTTCTTAGTGAGGAGGTTATTCAAAATGCCCGTGGTATCTTGCTATCTCAAAGATATTATATTATGGATCTTCTTGCTCGAACACACCTAATGAATGCTAAATCGGTTCTCACTTCCCTACCTACAATTCCTATTACACTACAGTTGAGTAACACTCTGTTGGATCCTACAAAGTATAGATATATTGTTGGGAGCTTGTAGTATCTACTAATCACATGGCCAAATATAGCTTTTGTAGTCAACAAGCTTTGTCAGTTCATGCATCGGCCAACTACCAACCATTGGGTTCTTGTAAAACACCTCTTGCATTATCTTTGTGGTTCGTCTAATGATGACATTTAGTTTTATCATGATTCTCTATTATCATTACATGCCTTTTCCACTGCTAATTGGGCTGGCAACAAGGATGATTTTTCTTTTTCTAGTGCTTATGTTGTTTATCTTGGGGCCACTCACCTATGCTCGAATCCAATTTTTTGTTCATGAATGAAACATGTTGCTATTGATTTCCATTTTATTTGTGATCAAGTTCAAAACGGCTCTCTACATGTTGCTAATGTTTCTAGTGAAGACCAACTTGTAGATGCACTTACCAAACCATTCCCCAGATCTCAGTTTCTTTCTCTCAGAACCAAGATTAGCCTTTTCAACAGAGTTCTATCTTGAGAGGGCATATAGAGAAGTCGTCAACAACCTCTCTCCCCTTGATTGTGTTATCTGTCATCTTTATTTTGAATTTATTTGACTTGTATCAAGTTTAAATTTGTATTTTAGTTTTTTCAACTGTGTTAGTTTTTGTAGCAGTTAGTTTCGAAAAGTTGGTTCCTACGTTGAACCTTGTATTATAATCTTGTATATATATTTGATTATTGAATGAAAAGTTTCGGCGGCCACACTTTTTCTCCGCTGTTCGTCCCTGTTTTCCTTACACTTTCTAGCCATTAGTCATTTGGTCCACTTCCATCTCACCTCTAGCGCCATTGCATCCCCATCACAACCCACCCTTGTTACAAAGATTTGACTTTGTTCTCTATATACTTTTTAATTTTATTCTGATTTCAAAATCGATAGTTGTTTTCTATATTAAACCTGAAAACAATTCAAACATAGAACTCGAAATTGATAAGAACAATTACTCTATCATATATTTCTTAATTTACCTCAACGCAGACGCTTCTCCCAAAATTAAATCATCGTAAATCTCTCCTACATTTTGTCAAGGCATTTCTAATAAAAAGTGTACTTTAACCAAAATTAAGGCATGTAACCTGTGTTATGTTATAACCATAAAATTTCACAAAGAAAAAATGTTCAATTATCTAGCCATAGGCAATGGTTGCATGAAAGCTACATAATGCAGTATTTCTTCAGTCTGCGCTAACTAGTAGCTACAATTCTACTACTTTAAAAAAAAAAAAAAAAAAAAAAATAATAATAATACCCATTACGATCCCCCAGTAACACTTCCATTAAAAATCTCAATAGTATCACCTTGGCCAACATGGTGCCACCGAAATGACCTATCATCGTCCATCACGTTCTGTTTGTAAATAAAGAAATACCCATCTTGTGGAAGATGAAAATGAAATCTTTGATGTAATTTTTGCAGCTCTTTTCTCAGCTCTCCAACATTATCAGTTGCATTCACTTCCACTGGAATCTTTTTAGTCCCGCATTTAGGTAAAACCATTAACTTCAACTTCTTAGACCCGGTTGTTCCTGTCCCTCCTGAAGCTGTAGGCGATGGCCTTACATTTACATCTACCTCCGAATTATCCATCAATTCACAATCACATAACGATCGATGATCCTGCAATTCTGCACCACTTGATTGAACTACTAACCTGTTGACCGGAATGGGCTCCACATCATGTATCTTTTCCTTTAAATGTAGAATTGTATCATTGATATCCATGTCAAGAGGGAGATGCACAAGCGTTTTGGAGGATGGAATGTTAATTCTGAGATGAATCTTTTTGGAGGGTGAGGCTTGTTCATTCTTGACTAGTTGAGGTTGAGGCAGTGACTGTGGTGGCTGAGGCTGAGGCTGAGAATGAGGCTGTGGTTGGGGTTTATCAGATTGATCGGGAGCAACGAAGAGTTGAATGTGAGAGTTTTGGAGGATTTCACAGTACTCAACATCACGGTCGTCTTGAAGAACATGGCCATTGAAGACTAGGGTTTGTCTTTGCACAGGTATGCCTTGGTATTTGTGTATTTTTTCTTTGATTTCTAAGACTGTGTCAAAGAAACCAACTTCAATAGAGAATGGCCTGCCTCTTTGGGGCTCAAAGATGACATCCATTGAACATTATGGCGAAAGAATTTCAAAGAAGAGTGACTCTCTCATCCTTTTCAGATACAAAAGCTTTTAATCAACAGATGTTTATCATGTCGCGTAGTTGTAACAGTACCCGATTTTGCCTAACCGTTTACCCAGATTCTTGGTGATACTCATACTCTCTCATTTAATTGCTTTAATTTTTGGAAAACTAATAAATGTTTCCTTAAAATTTAATCCATTTTGATAACGTTTCTCTCATTTAACCAATATTATAATTAAGGAGAAAAAAGAGTTATTTGGAAAAACAATTCTCGAATTACACAGGATTATATTATTATTATTTCGAACTAATTTGAATAGAAACGGATAACAATATCGTAATGATAAACGATCTAAGAGATCACTAACTAATTAAAACTACCTTAAATGAAATTGATCTAATTGAATTTGATATTTCAATAATTTGGAATAAATTGATTGGCACATATATAATTTTAGTTCTATTATTATCTAATGATGATTTAATTATATCATCCATTCTAATATTTACACTATAAGTTAATAACGGGTTATTTCCATTGATAACCATTTCACTAATTGTTGATACGAAAATTCGCACCAACCCGAGAGATCTGATTAACCTTGACGGAATCGAAACGGATGTGGGCGCGATTACATGTAACTAGCAATGTAATGAGTTAAAAGCAATAAAGAAATTGACACAATGAGTTTTTAAAGTGGTTCAGAGAGATATACTCTTGAGTCTATGTCCACTGTTTTTATATTTGCTATGAGAGCTTACAATGATAATTCTAGAACGTTGGAGGGGTTTTATATACAAGTTTTGTATAATGGAAGGAGCGAAAATAAATGGATTACAATTAAGATTAAAATGCAACTCTGATATTCTTGCGATTGAATGTTGAGATTGCGCCAAGATTGTTGTCGATCTGACCCCTTCTGAGATATCTGGGATCAGAAATTATCTGTGAGCTAGTTGAACAACTGCAGGGATTGGTCGCGACTAGCTTGTGCTGTCAGTAAACGACCCAGTTACGCAGCGGAAAACAAAAACATAAACTCTATGGATCGTTCCTTAGAACCAAGATCCGGGTACAAAAATCATAGTTTACATTAAAATAATCAAATCTGCAAAAATCAGTTCAAGGTTCAAGAAAACATACCCACATTTGGAGGCTCCACCAATATTGTCTCTAAACGTGTTTGCTACCGATCCAAGCGTAGGATTGAACCGTAGAGGTCCACACGAAGACAATCAATAAGAACCAAGGAGGGATTTGCAGATTCTCCTTGGCCTTAAGAAATCAAGAAGAAAACAAAAGAAAGTGTTTGATTTTCAATCAAACAGTAAAGTGGCATGGGAGAGTATTTGGGGCTTGAGGGTTTTTCCTTTTTCAATTGAAGAATGAAATAATAAAATAACACACACTTGTTTCTTTAAACTAAAACCCTTTTTCTTTTATAGTCTTATTTTAGTTGCCCTATTCTCATATGGAATGGGCTTGGGCTCCAACCCAAACACCCCCAAATTTGCCAAACACTCCTATTTAGATATTTTAATTTAATTCATCATTATTTCAATTAAAATCAATTAATATATATTTAATATATATATTAACATTTAACAATAATGATAATTTATTTAAATATATGCGAACATATATTTAAACGGAATTTCACTTATTTAATTTTTTCTAACAAATTAAATAAAGGCTACGACCTCAGCAAATTTAATTGCACTGTGAAATTACCAAAATACCCTTTCACCCAAAAAGATGAAAACGCCCTTCTTTCTTCCTAAGTCTTAAATTATCTTCTATGTGTGTGACCCATAGGCTCCTCATCATACCGGTAGTGTATAGTATCGCGATTAACACCAATTAATCGTCTCACTAATACACAGACCAAGATTGGCCCCTAGCAAGGCATCATGGCCACCCGATAGATTTGGATTCAGCAAAGTAGCTGCCTGTCAACGATATGGTTACCGTACAATATGATCCTTTCATCATATGTTATCTCGACGAGACGAAGACATATAAATAGTGTCAACCTTCGGTTAATCTCGATATTATGTATTCAGTTTCTGGACCAATGACCTGTATCATAAGCCGGATAGAGCAACAACTCAATCCCACTGTGGCCATAGTTTTAGTGTCATCGCCATATACTGAATTGCGCCGTGAGATAACTTCTCCCGTACCCGGGAGTGATGAATCCTTTGTCAATCCACTGTAGTCTTGATATACTCCTCGATGCAGCCAATCACCACAGTATTGACAGCTCTGAAAAGAACTGCGTTAGGCTAGTGTCAAACTGCACCAATCGGTGTACAAGGCGCTCTGGTGATCTCAAGTCTAAGGATCACATGCACCACAATTCGTTAAAGGATTTGTTCCATAGACACTGGGGTTACCATCCATATGGAATCCTCTGGTGGGTTAATCCAGTGAACTTGCTGCGGTATAATCGCCTACATCAAACACCCATGTGTTGCACCAGCTTGTTACCAAACAACCTTGACAAGTGAGATCCGTCACTGCCTTTTGATAGGATCGTTCAACACTATGATAGCCTTACCGTATTATCTGTGCCCCTACTTCAGAATAATACTGGGGCTACAGACGTTTCTAGAATGGTCACCATATGTGCTCATAGGGTTCTCACTATCAAGATTTAAAACACGTGATACCCTCGTCACGGTTCTACCATTCTAAGGACATATATCAATACATATTGCAATAATAATGATTTACGCGATATAGTATAAAATGCCTTTTTATTAATTAATGAACATTATTACAAAGAGACAATTCTACAATAATTGATTGGCTCTAAGGCATCTACTCTAACATGTGCAAGGTCGAGCTACATCTCAACGAGCTTATACTAGGTTGGACAATCGATTAAGTCAAATTGATTTTGGATTGAGCTATAATCTCGCAATTCTCCGAGCTTGATGAAAAAATCACACACAACATCTGCCCCCTAGTATTTGGTGCTCGTTTCGAGCTTCGAAAACTATTATTCAATTTGATATCAAGCTTGGACTTCATCGGTTGCGCACTAAATGTAGATTCGGTCGAGCTTCATGAGTCAGACTCATCTCTGGTTGACGTACTCAACACTTAGCTTTTCCTCTGCTATGATATTCTTGACAAACTCGGAATTTGAAGTGAAGGGTATATGTGTAACTTCCACGTCGTCATGTCGCATTTAATACAACAGCCTTCGGCAGTTACTTTTCGTCGCACGTGGGCGACTACAGTTGTCCACGCGTACAATCAAAGCGACGTGCAGTGACAGTTATGATTGTGGCAGCCTAACGGTTGACCGCCCCTCACGGATGATTGACATGTGGCCATGTCCAAGGGCTAGGATTGCTCGATGAATGGAGGGCCGAAAGTCACCATAGATCGATGGCTACTATCGAATCCTGCCCTTTCGTTTCCCATGCAAACCACTATAAAAGCGAGCGATCTCTTCAGAACATCTACACACTTTGCAAAAGTTTTTAGATTTTCTTGCTTATTCTGTTGTTGCTCCTTTGCTTTCCCGGCGAGTTTCTTCCATCTTTTCACTTCGGTAAGGTTTCTTTCCCCTTATTTGCTTAATTTTATGCCTTTTTGCGGTTAAGGGTGGCCATTATCTTGGCCACATTGAGTTTTTTAGGGCTTTGCTAGGGTTTATTGAGTGTATTTCCAGCGGTTCTGGGTTTAAGGAGGGTTTATGGTGGTGGCTACAAGATTCCTAGTAGGTTGCTTGTGTTTGTTGTTCGATGAGAGCTACCTAGGTGCCAGAACTGAAAGCAAAGTATGGATAGGTCACCAAATTTTTTATCTTTGACACATGTTCGCTTCTGTTTTAGGTACCCAAAGGTGAGCTGTCATCATGTCTTCGTCAAGCAGGGGTTTAGGGTTTAGCATTGATCACATGTTCGATTCCCCAGTGGGCTCGACAATTCTTGGCAGTGTAGTCCTTGAGGCTTCCGAGGATGTCATTGTCTGAAGTTCAGACCCCGATGTGGCAGGCTCTTCGGACCACGCTTTTGTAGAGATTGTTTAGCCGATGAGATATCTAGTCCATAGGCCATGGAAGGAATGACATTCCTCGATTGGGGCCGATGACCTTAGGCATATAACTGAAATTTATGCGCTTCAACTTTCCTTGAGGGTTCCAAGAGGCTTCTCCCAGAAAAATCCCCCCATCGGTTGTGTGGCGATCTCTAAATCCCTTTTCAGGTGTGGGATGTCCATTCCCCCTCATCACTTCATCGATAGTGTTTTGAGACTTTTTAGTTGTTGGCATACTCCTATATCATCATTGTAGGCTTGTACATAGCACACAAAATAGCTGAGTTGGGTGAGCCATCCGTAGAGGAGCTTGTCCACTTGTATAGGTTAAAAAAGGGTTAAGACCAAACGTACTATCTTTCAAAGGCAAGGAAAATACATTTTAACGGTTTGGTCGACGTCCCAAAAAAGGTTTTGCATTGGGATTCTCAATTTTTCTTTTATGAGGCCGAGGAGACCGACGTTTTTGCTTCGAAAGTTAGAAAGACTTTGATCCTTGTGTATGCAAAGAGTGTTTCCAAGCTCGACTATTAGACTAACCAAATTTTTTTGCTTTGCAGTAAACATCGAGCAAAACTTTCTTCCTGCAGTGAGCTTAGAGCAGCTTCAATGCTTGAGCAATCTCTCTGACAGAAAGTGCAACATTAACGAGATTTTCTCGCTTTCTCGGTTTAGGGCATACGACTTTTGTGTAAACGAAGCCACATTCACCACTATTCTTGAGAAAGGTAAAGTACTTACTTGCTCGTTTTTTATAGGTCACTGATTGTTTGCTTCTCCTTTCATAGATATGTGGGCCGAGAAACCAAAGGGCTGAAGAAGAAGACAACAATGCTTGGGGTTGCCAAGAAACCGTTGGTTGCTCCAACGAAGAAGCAATCTATTGATGCTGTTAGGACAGTTGGGCAGGGTGCCTCACGCCTAGTC